TGTAGAAGTTATGCTTTTTTCTTTCACTTTTCAACATATATGCAACACTGTAAACACATTTCAAGGAAAACCGATAGGCCTGTTGTCTTGAAACTCTCAGGAGTAATCGATCTTACTAAAACGGAGGTCAAGTTCGAAAATCGGCATGCAGCCTGAGTTGGAAAAGCAGTCTAATTGGCTTCTTTTTCTGGAAGTTATACATTTTCAAAGTGTGAACTTGAACTCTCATGGGCCTGAAGCCTTATGCTTGTTACACATTTTACTTTCATTGGTATTACCTGTTGAGCATAATTAAAATTTGATGTTGAATTTACAGTCAAACATAATGTACTTTTGCATCAGAATTGACAGTAGCCTATTTTGTGCATAGTTATTTCCTGCTTTTTGTCTGTACATTTGACAGCTTTGCTGCCTTGTTCATGTAAACAGTTAAGTGAAAATAGATTCAATCATTACTTAGTCCTAAGGTGACTGACAAGAAAATTGTTATTATTTCTAAGCTTGGAATTCTACAGAGTGATATAATTTAAAGTGCCAAGATATTTGTTGATTGTTTAATTTGGTGCCCTAAATCATACATAGGGCTTTGTCAGTAGTTTGGTTAGTATTGTAAGAATCTTATCTATCCAACTGTTGCATGGAATTTCTGGTAGTCAAGATTGTATTTAACCCCATGGAAAAGTTTTAACATGCTATTTTACTGTAGACATATGTGACAAAAAAAAAAAAACCTGGAGTAATCAAACTCTGCCTTAAAGTTTAAATAAAGCTAAAAAACATCCAAATAAGAAATAGAATTTTTAAATATAACCAAGGACGTATAAGATGTCAATATGCGTCCTCGATCTTACCAAAAAAGGTTTTGCAGATTTTTGAGAGACATTTCCAAAACACTTACTCTTTCTTATGGTTGTCCACAGGTGTTTTAGGTAGGAAATGCATTGCAACATAAAGGCAAAGGGGTTTATTTATTTGTTTGTTTGTTTAAAAAAAAGGTTAAGGATGCCATGTGATTGATCTTACAAAGACTTTTCATTTTAAAAACATTATATTCTCATTATCTTAAAAACTGTGCTCCAAAGCGTTTACATAATAGGGTCTACATTTGGCTACAGTATTATTGAATGACTGTAAAAAGGTATAAGATAGAAATTGTAGAAACGTAACCAAAATATGTTTTCTCTAATATGTTCACAACTTGTCCTCTTAGGGAAAAATTGTGGATCGAAAATTTCGCCAAAATTATTTTCAAATTTATCCTTTTTAAAAGTCTTTCAGCAGTATGTTACTACTAGACTACATTTACATGTTCTTGATAAGTGGCTGTAGTGAAAAAAGGGTGTTTCAAAACAAAATTTTCTCAATTTGATAATAATACCTAAATAAAAATTGAGTAGAATTCCCAGTATATTCCTCAAGTGTTTCTCACACGTCCATATAGAATAGTGGGTCCCGAGGTGTTCAGTAAAAAGCACCATTGACCTAAGATCAGCAGCCAAAAAGACCATCAGAGAATTTCGAATACCATTAGATACTGTGTGATAAAAAGCATTTGCTTACCAGTTGTATTGCAAATTATATCAAGTAGAAAATTAACCAGAATTTGCACTCTTCGAAGTGAAATATTTATCAGTCAGGATTTTGAAGGAAACTCTGGCAGGTCTCTGTCGGCTTTTAGTGGATAAAACCATTTCAAGTTGATGAATTATTTACTTACATCAAACAGCCAGCATCAAGAGTGATTTCATTTGTGAATCAAAGTGTAATAATGGGGTTTACCATGGGTTATTATAAAAAAGGATATTTACACCTCTCTATTTTGTGTAGATAACGCCAGAATCAAAGTTTTGTCTCAACTGGAAGAAGCACTTGAGGATGGTCTCTGTGTGCATTAAATGAGGACAATACAATGATCTTAGCAGCTTGCTGTGCTGAATTATCGGGGGCCTATTTCACGAAAAAAAAAAAAAAAGCTTTAAATCATATGGGCTTTACTTATTCTGCTAACAATCAATACCTGTGCCAAAAACTTCAAAAGTCTGTTGATTCTTCAGGACTCCTTAGGCCAGATTCAAAACCAAAGTTGATCCGCGAACTAACAGTTCCGCAGATCAAATATGGCTGACCCACTTGACTTGTCTAGTGGTGTTAGTAAGCTTATCTCTGGTTTAAAGTTTGAAAGGATGTGATCACGTTCTTAATCTTCAGTCCCACTTGGTCGCACATCTTGACTTAAAATCGATTTGTGTTTGGAAACCTGACTACAGAATTGGAAACTGTTATTGGCTTGCATGTTAAAGGTTAACAAAATCATGTCCAGGATTTTTTTTTCATTTGCCATTCCCTTAAAAGCAATCCAGGCCAGGAGTTTGAACACATTCTGAGTGCATAGATTGCTTCTTGTTGAACTTATCTGAGGACAATTAAAACTTATAAAACATATATGGACAGATAAATGGCCTTAACTGATATTGCAAAACATAAACATATCTACTTACCAACCTTTTATCTTTCTTTTCTGAAACTTGCCATAACTCTGTAACAATTTTGGATGAAGCAAAAGATCAAAACCTGCACTAAAGCACAGGTTCCAGATAGACCATTCATTTCATGACTCGACTCTGAAGGTTGGTAAGTCAAGGAAAATTATATTTACCCTGGTATAATTCTTTCAATATGAGTTTTTGATGGGAAAATCCTGGCTTGGAATGCTCTAATCCTTTGTGGGTCCTCAATCCCATATTTTGTCAGTTTACAAATAAGATATGATTACTTTTGCTGATGACAGGAGCCTTATGCAGTATCAGGTCATCACTGTCAAACCCCACCATTCATAATATACGCTTTTATTGTATTGTATATTTTCTTTTTAAGCTGCATTTTTACTTTTTTTAGGATTTGATTGGAATTTAGTATTCAAGTGGGATTATATGACCACAGAAGAGAGAAACAAGAGAAAAGGCAATGAAATAGCTCCCATAAGGTAAGTTTGAAGTTGAATAATTTTACTATTTTTTTCTGCTTTTTTTTTTTTTTTTTTTCTTTTTCATCACCAAACTGTTTTTGGTCAAGATATCATAGTTGTCAGTAAGACTAAGAAAGGCTTAAGTTGTCAGTGTCACTTTGTATCATACAACCACTGCACCACTATTAACTGAAAGTAAGCTAAATGTCATTTGTAAAGTACCTTGCTTTGTGCATAAGTGGTTACTGATTCAGAAATAGAGATGATACTCCATTCGAAATCCAGTCAATGTTTTTTTCCACCATGCTTGCAATATGAGAGTATCAACCAAAACAATTCCCCCAGATTTATTAATCTTTCAAAGATCTTCTTTGAAAGCAATACAGTTCGAGTTGATTGATTGTGTAACAAGTGGGACTCCCAGTAGGTGGGTGAGTGATCCTTAACTGTCTTTTCCAGGACTCCCATGATAGCAGGAGGGTTATTCAGCATAGAGAGGAAGTGGTTTGAAGAGCTGGGCAAATATGACATGATGATGGATGTCTGGGGAGGAGAGAATTTAGGTAAAGAGAGAAGGTGTCTGTGCCAGTGAATTGAAGTTAGAGTGATGAATGAACTGTGGCATTTTCTTTTAAATAGATAGAATACATATGGTCCAATTAATCAATATTTGGATCCAGGATAACCCAATAAAATCTTACAGTTTTTCCTTAAATTAATTGAGTGTTATCATTAAGTATCTTGATTTTTTTTTTGAAGCAGACATTTAAAGTTATAATAATCTACTGTGTAAAAGTATATATAAAACCATTTGGTGTTATAAGTAACATTACATCTTCTGGGGATAGTTTCTTATTTCGATCATATATTATGATCTTGTTTCCTTAGACATGAAAGCCAATAGCAGTTTCCAATTATTATTATTATTATTATTATTATTATTATTATTATTATTATCCTCTTTTTCAGAAATATCATTTAGAGTATGGCAGTGCCATGGTGCTTTGGAAATCATTCCCTGCAGTCGTGTTGGCCACGTATTTAGAAAGCAGCACCCATATACCTTCCCTGGTGGAAGTGGAAATGTGTTTGCTAGAAATACCAGGAGGGCAGCCGAAGTGTGGATGGATGATTACAAGCAATTTTATTATGCAGCCGTCCCCTCTGCCAAACATGTGCCATTTGGGAGGTGAGTAGGTGATTAGAAATGGTTGAAAATATCGAATCCAAGTGATTGTGAAAAGGATAACAACTGTTCATTTTGGCCAGAAAATGGATTTTCCTGGGAACAGTGGCAATTTTCCTATACTTACCAATGGTTAATGAATCCATTTCTACATTCAAAGTTAGTCCCTGTTTTTTTTTTTTTTTTCTAAAAAGTTTTTTTTTTTTTTTGTAATTATCTTTTAAGAGATCATTAAAGAGTATAGCCATCTATGGAGGTCACGTGGTCAGATGACAAGCACAGATTTCAGAATAATTGCAATTACTGCCGTTTTTGTGGTAAAAAAAGAATATATTATGTTTCTATGAGTTGTTTACAATGTATTTATTGTGAAATATAGATTTCATACGAAGAGATGTTATCCCTTTACGTAGGAGGAAATGACTTTTATTATTCAGTCAGAATTAAATTTGGGGGGGAGGGTGTTGGATAGGATACATTTAATAGAAATGATTATATGTTTACAGAACTACATGTAAAAAGTATGTAATAATAGAGATAGTGTTGGATTAAACATTATCAAAAACAGTTCTGTCTTTGATGCTTTGGGATTAAGGTTTGCAGATGGTGACAGAAATTGATGCTTGTTTACTCTTGCTTTAAAATGATGCTTTAAAAGTTTAGATTGGACAATAGCCATCTTAAAACAAATTTTATCTTCTGTCATTGTTTTCCACATTTCATATTCCAGTATTCGCAATCGTGTGGAGCTCCGGGAAAGATTGAAGTGCAAGAGCTTTAAATGGTTTCTTGAAAATGTGTATCCAGAGTTGAAGTAAGTAAAGGCTAGGAAAAAAAAGCTATTCACATCTTTTCTGGCTGCAAATGGAAGGTTAACATGATTACTTGCTGGAAGTATAAGCATGCAAGGGTTTTCTTGGGTTCACTGCCGTCAAGCTACAGTTGGCTGGAGCTTACTGAATTCCGTAGAATGAAATTACACTCTTTTTCTTTGACACACTGATGCGTTGAAACCCCATCTATAAGGCCTCACTCCCATAAACTCCATCGGTCTAGGTGTATCTACCCAAATCTGTGGGGACTCTCGTTAAGTGCAATCAGCTTAGCTGAATGACACTCCGCCTCCTGGCATTAAGTAAAAGAGAAGCTGGTGATTATTAGAGTTGGTTGAAAACAAGAGGAGGCATGTCATTCAGTTAAGCTGATTGCACTTAACGAGAGTCCCCACAGAGTTGTGTGAATCTATATAGACTGTCACTGATGGTGTCTATGGGACTGTGGTCTAAGAATTGACAGTTTTGCAGTTAAGCCTAATTAAATAACATGTATAGCTATGGTAATTATTTGGATTTTGATTCTTATGTCACTTAGGTCCACACTTTGAAATTATAACCTGTAGCTTCTTAACCCACAAAGTTTTTACTTACTTATCACTTATTATTGATTTCTGTTAAAATATTATTTTCAATATTTTTGGTGAAGCATATTCTAAAATGAACAAAAAATAATTATGTAATTTTAAATTTTTACTATAGGTATAGTCCGTATTTTGACTTCGAAAAATCTTCCACGTTCAGTTAACTAAAGCCCTTTTATTCTGCCTTAATGCAAGTAACTGTATCTCATTTGTGCAATTAACCCCAGTCGTTTGGCAGCTTAGCTTTACTGCCATAAATAAACCTTGGACTAAACTCACAGCTTTGGCAGGAAATTTATATAGATACTGTTACCCACTTAAAATACAAAATGGGAAGAGACTTGTGCACTGAAAGTGACACTAATGAAAAATGGGAATGACTGTGGGCATATGAGTATATTTGTGTACATGTCATGATGAGTATATTTGTGTGCATATATGTATATTTGCAGGTGTGGGTGTATATTTCACCAAGGTGGATATTTTGATATAACCACCTTCCCCTTTTCTATTGCTTCTTTAAACTAAGAAATTTTCAAATATTGGCTTAATGACGTTCATTGCCAATCTGGATAATACCTGAAGCTAGCTTTATTTATTCTCTTTGTAATAAAACATACTTTAAAATCAGTGCTTAACTTTTGGCTTATTAAGTGACAGATATTTCTTTGGCTTGTCAACTCGGAGCATTACAACTGTTTAACAAAGTTTTAGGATTCCTTTGTTTTTTATAGTTTTCTTTTGTTAACAAAAGTGAATAAAAGTAGAACTACTACATAATTATGACAATTTTGTTAACCCGGGTGTTTTTAGGGAGGGGGCTACGTTATACTAAGAATAATTATTATGAGTTAAATTAGATATTGAGACTTCCAGTTACATTTTACACATTTGCTGGCTCTCTACACTACAGTCTATTAAAATAGACAAGCCATATTTACAAATTTAAAACAACATATAAATAATATTTAGATATAAAGAACCTTTTACTCTTATTGCTTATTCCTAACCTGTGAAACCTTGAACCTTAATATTCATCTTTTAAACTTTACAGACCTCCCAAGAAGCACTGATACAGACAGATAGATCTCCACAATTTTGCAAGACTTGCTCGAGTGTATGTTCAGTTGTGTTTCTCTTAGGCTGCGTTCACATTAAAAATCTATTTTCTAAAAATCTATTTGCAGTATCTTGTGATCACGGTCTGTGCCCTGAATACCCCGCGGCGTAATTACTGGCAGCACCGAGAATTAATTACAGCTTTGGAAGTAACAGGCTCGTGCTGCCCGTAATTACGCCATGGGGTATTCGAGGCACAAACCGTGATCACAAGATACCGCAAATAGATTTTTAGAAAATAGATTTTTCATGTGAATGCAGCCTTTTTTCGCTTGCATGGTACACTATACTACTAACTATTTTATGCACTTGCTTCTACCATACTGTGAGTTTTTTCTAGTTACAAAATCGTCAGTAAATTTAGCTTGTTTGTAGAATAGGTCACATTTTTATATACAGACACTGTGAGTGTCTTTATATTCTCCGATTATGCATGTGTGTCCGTACATTCCGTTTCCTTTGACAATCAACATATTTGTTCCTACCATGTGCTATGGCTGTCAAATCACATTTTTTCCTTAATGTTTTTTAGGTTTTCTTTGGCAAAAAGCAGATTGGGTTTGGAAATTAACATAAGGGTTTATTTTTATGAAAGTTATTATTATTTTAATAATAAAAATAATAATGATTTTTTTTTTGCCACATTCAACACTGAATGCTAAGCCATATTTTTGTTTTATTCTACATTTACTGGGGAACTTTATTTGAGAAAAAGGCAGGTGGAGTTTGAAAAAACCAGCATGATTGGTTAACATTCACAAAAGATATTGCNTACTTACTTATCACTTATTATTGATTTCTGTTAAAATATTATTTTCAATATTTTTGGTGAAGCATATTCTAAAATGAACAAAAAATAATTATGTAATTTTAAATTTTTACTATAGGTATAGTCCGTATTTTGACTTCGAAAAATCTTCCACGTTCAGTTAACTAAAGCCCTTTTATTCTGCCTTAATGCAAGTAACTGTATCTCATTTGTGCAATTAACCCCAGTCGTTTGGCAGCTTAGCTTTACTGCCATAAATAAACCTTGGACTAAACTCACAGCTTTGGCAGGAAATTTATATAGATACTGTTACCCACTTAAAATACAAAATGGGAAGAGACTTGTGCACTGAAAGTGACACTAATGAAAAATGGGAATGACTGTGGGCATATGAGTATATTTGTGTACATGTCATGATGAGTATATTTGTGTGCATATTATAAGTATATTTGTGTGCATATATGTATATTTGCAGGTGTGGGTGTATATTTCACCAAGGTGGATATTTTGATAAAAACCACCTTCTCCTTTTCTATTGCTTCTTGAAACGAAGAAATTTTCAAATATTGGCTTAATGACGTTCATTGCCACTCTGGATAATACCTTAAGCTAGCTTTATTTCTTCTCTTTGTAATAAAACATACTTTAAAATCAGTGCTTAACTTTTGGCTTATTAAGTGACAGATATTTCTTTGGCTTGTCAACTCGGAGCATTTACAACTGTTTAACAAAGTTTTAGGATTCCTTTGTTTTTTATAGTTTTCTTTTGTTAACAAAAGTGAATAAAAGTAGAACTACTACATAATTATGACAATTTTGTTAACCCGGGTGTTTTTAGGGAGGGGGCTACGTTATACTAAGAATAATTATTATGAGTTAAATTAGATATTGAGACTTCCAGTTACATTTTACACATTTGCTGGCTCTCTACACTACAGTCTATTAAAATAGACAAGCCATATTTAAAAATTTAAAACAACATATAAATAATATTTAGATATAAAGAACCTTTTACTCTTATTGCTTATTCCTAACCTGTGAAACCTTGAACCTTAATATTCATCTTTTAAACTTTACAGACCTCCCAAGAAGCACTGATACAGACAGATAGATCTCCACAATTTTGCAAGACTTGCTCGAGTGTATGTTCAGTTGTGTTTCTCTTAGGCTGCGTTCACATTAAAAATCTATTTTCTAAAAATCTATTTGCAGTATCTTGTGATCACGGTCTGTGCCCTGAATACCCCGCGGCGTAATTACTGGCAGCACCGAGAATTAATTACAGCTTTGGAAGTAACAGGCTCGTGCTGCCCGTAATTACGCCATGGGGTATTCGAGGCACAAACCGTGATCACAAGATACCGCAAATAGATTTTTAGAAAATAGATTTTTCATGTGAATGCAGCCTTTTTTCGCTTGCATGGTACACTATACTACTAACTATTTTATGCACTTGCTTCTACCATACTGTGAGTTTTTTCTAGTTACAAAATCGTCAGTAAATTTAGCTTGTTTGTAGAATAGGTCACATTTTTATATACAGACACTGTGAGTGTCTTTATATTCTCCGATTATGCATGTGTGTCCGTACATTCCGTTTCCTTTGACAATCAACATATTTGTTCCTACCATGTGCTATGGCTGTCAAATCACATTTTTTCCTTAATGTTTTTAAGGTTTTCTTTGGCAAAAAGCAGATTGGGTTTGGAAATTAACATAAGGGTTTATTTTTATGAAAGTTATTATTATTTTAATAATAAAAATAATAATGATTTTTTTTTTGCCACATTCAACACTGAATGCTAAGCCATATTTTTGTTTTATTCTACATTTACTGGGGAACTTTATTTGAGAAAAAGGCAGGTGGAGTTTGAAAAAACCAGCATGATTGGTTAACATTCACAAAAGATATTGCCACTTTTTGTTGTGTTTTGCAATCCTGCTGTCCAATGTTTTCTTCAGCCCGACATAATCATTATTGGACAAAATAAGGTGTTGTAACATGGTCCATTATATTAAAATTGTATATTTTTATTTTTAGTTATTTATTTATTTTAATTATTTTGTCACTGGAAGTTATCTTTCCAATTTTGTGCCTTATTTTAATATTCATTTCTCTAATTGGCAGTGTACATTCCTCACCAGGGTATTTTATTAAAAGATATTTATTCATTATATTTGCAATGTCTAAAAACTGAGGGAATCCCTCTCTCTCTCTCTGTCTCTTGTAAGTTTACTCATGGCTATCTCATATATTAGGATAATGATGGTGTTATATGAACTGTTGTGTTCAGTTGATAAGAACTTTGAATATGATGATATGAGCCTTGTATTGTGTGGTTGGTAAGAAAACTGTGCGAGACTGACCATTGAATAACATTCACTTCTAGACTGTGTACCGTTTTGATGAGGTGAAAATTGCTGACATTTCTTTTTGAAAATTTTTAGTTCTTTTGCAGTGCAGTTTTCTTAGATGTTTTTCAATCTGTTTCTTCTTCAAATTTCTTTTTTTGATATATAAATCAAATTCCTTTGTTAGATAAATATGTATGGCATATTATTTATATGTGCCGTCCTCATATGGAGTATTTTGTTAAATTTGCTTTTAACCAAAAAGCATGTGTTTTTTTATCCTGAATCTTTTGGTTGGTTTTAAGTTTTAAGATAGCTGGTGTATATGAAAAGTTATTAGGTAGAAATGGCAGTGTGATAAATTTACAAAATAAGCTGTTATTTATCATCAAGTTGGTAAAAAATTCAGTAAACCAGCTCTCCTGCTTTAATGGAGAATATTTTTACTGGAAGTCTTCTTTGTCAATTGTGTGCTGTCTTTGAATATTTGTGTCTCTAGTTGGCAGTGTGCATTCCTTCTCAAATGATGATCAGCAAAAATTAATCTCAAGTCACTTTTGAAAGGACACTTTGAATATGACTTGTTGATTTTGCAGCCAAAATCAGTGAAATGTGAAGATGTTGCTGTGGAACTCTCAACTTCTTTGGCGGTTATTTATTATAATTATTATTTCATTATATTTTTTTTCGATTTAAGGTATGACCTGAAAAGCTATCAATTCACCAAGGGCCTTTCTTCTGTCTGTTTACTCTGTTAAAGCTTGTGGCAGCCATGCCTATATAAAGGTTCTAGTTCTGTATTATCCAATTGCAAGGATATTGGTGTCATAATCTACTGCAGGTGTTCGGGAGTAATAAGTGGTGAATAGATCATTTGTAAGGACTGCTGTTCAAGTCATTTGTAGGTCTTCGTCTTTCATGGGTCAAGTAATTCTGCTTGTTGGAGCAGTTTATGGTTTTCCTTTATTGAGCAAAGTTATCATCTTAGACGTCATGTGTTATCTGTTACAGCTTATTGTAGTTTTTTTGTGAACTTGGTGTAAGTCTTTCTTCTTAGGCTTTCAAAAAATAACTAAAGGTAATTTGAAAAAATTAGATTTAACTAGAAAAAAATATATTTTTCTTTCTTAAGTTTAATTGAACAAAATTTAGAACCTTTATTAGTGTTCACTATTGAAGGAAATCCCAGTTTTCATTATTTCTTTTTTATCATATTCTTAATAGGGCTTTTTATTTTAAGTGGATCTCATTTTTCTGAAATCACGTTCTTAATGTCAAACAAGCTTGTTTGAATAAAGGTTTGGTCAATCCACATATTTTAAAATACTTTCTCCTTTATAGGAAGAGACATCCTTTAGATAGATCTTCATGATGACTTGGAAGGCAGTAACTGCTAACCACACATTTATCTCCATAAACGATGTTAACATGACTGTTTAGACTCTACTGATTGATTCATTTCTCCATCCAGACATATACTTGATTGGATTTGATTGTATCCCTGTGGTATTAGAGTTGTCATTAGTGGCTGCAGAACTACTTTGTCAACTTAAAAAGAGATGGTCTGCGTGTTCAGCGCAATGGCGACTGTTACTTAGTGGCATTTTCCTGTCCTACCTTATATGTGATTGTAATAGCTCAGGCCTTCCCCTTTCTGAACTATGGGGGAATAAAGAACTGATAGCGGGATAATTACTAAGAGTGGAAGAGGGAGAAAATGAGTTTTTTTTTCTGATTTCTGATTTTGCATATTTTACTCATGATCAAGTACTGGTATGCATGAGATGATGAAGAAGAAACTTGCCTGCAATGGTGTTTTCAGTGAATGTGTAAAATATTCAGGATGAATTACATGTAAAAAAAAAATTTTTTTAAAGTCTATACCAGTGACAATTGTGGACTAAGTTGTTGAATATCCTCCGTTGCACTGTTCTTAAACTGTTTTTTCTTCTGCTTCTTAATTTCTGCATGCCTAAGCAAATCTTGACATCACCCCCCAGGGAAATCATTGTAGAATGTTAATCTAGCATGACACAAGTTGTTGCCTCATGTCATTGCGTAAGAATGACATTGCTGTTTTAATTGCATGGCACGATGAGCAATCAAAAGTGCATCTCAAAATATTTGCTCCACTAGCTTTTGTAGTACACATGGGATTCTCAGATTGTGAAATGAATGGATTTAGTATAATATGTATGTCATGATGTTATATCATAGTTTTCACTTGGAAATTGAATGAAATCAATTTAACTCATTTAGAGATGTACATGTTTTTTTTCCTTTGAAGTGGTGTAATTTAAAAGAGGCATACACTGCTTTTACAAATAATGGAAGTTCATGTTTAACTTACACAACTTCACATGTTTAGAGACCAAGGAATGAAATTATTTTTTTTCATCTACACATATATTTGAAGATTTCATCTGAACCATTCAGTAATGAAAGAGTATCAGGAATTCCTTTGATATTGCCCATAATTTTAAGGCCCTCAACACATGTCATTGACAAGTATACATATGCTTGTAATTTTCTAATAATAATCATACTTTGAATGATTCATCTTATGTTTGGAATCTTAAGATGACTTGGTAGAAAGGTTTTAAGAACCACTTCAAAATTTTGGTTTAAAAAAAGGCTGATGTATTTTTTGAATCTTTAAACTGATACAACTTATTTAGAATATGGAAGCTAATCAAGAAAATTGAATGTGCCCACCATTTCCCCACTTTGATTTTCAATATTTTGGTTCCCCTCTTTGGCCCTTCTAGACCTTAAAAATACAGTGTCCTTTTATACGACTTATTATGTTTACACTTAAACAATTCATACCTCCCTTTAACAATCCATTTCCTTCTTCTTTATTAGAAATGAAAGAAAAATCAGTGAATTCAAAATTGTATCTTTCAGGGTTCCTGATAAGTCTGATGTCCAGTTTGGTAGTATAAAGCAAGGTGACCAATGTATGGACACGTTAGGACACAGGTCAGGAGAAAGCGTTGGTGTTTACGCCTGTCATGGCGCTGGAGGGAACCAGGAATGGGTGCAGACAAAGGAAGGGCGCATAAAACACCATGAGTTTTGTCTGACCATTGGGGATAAGCCTGGTAGTTTGGTACGGATGAAGCCCTGTGATGGAAATGACAGAAATCAGGTGGGTTGGCATGACAATTTAAGTAAATGCGCACTTTTTTTTTCATAGTCATGACAAAATGTAGTACTACTATAATTAAAGGTATGCTCCATGAAATTTACCTGCCAAAAAAGATAAAAATAAGCAACTTTCTTGTACTGGCAAATCATTTGTCCATCTCTCTTTACATTTGGATTCGACCTTTGATAAAATTTGTATAGCTTAATGTTATCTAAAAATAACAGCGATCATTTTCCTATAAGCTCCAATGGAAATATCAACATCAGGTAGGCTTCAGAAAAATATTGAAGGGTTTAAAGCTTTTTAAGGTGTATGCAAGGTTTTATAAGAAGCTTTGGATGGCAAAAAGAAGCATTTTGGGGATTTTCAAACCAGTGGAGTATACCTTTAATTANCTACTTTTTGTTGTGTTTTGCAATCCTGCTGTCCAATGTTTTCTTCAGCCCGACATAATCATTATTGGACAATATAAGGTGTTGTAACATGGTCCATTATATTAAAATTGTATATTTTTATTTTTAGTTATTTATTTATTTTAATTATTTTGTCACTGGAAGTTATCTTTCCAATTTTGTGCCTTATTTTAATATTCATTTCTCTAATTGGCAGTGTACATTCCTCACCAGGGTATTTTATTAAAAGATATTTATTCATTATATTTGCAATGTCTAAAAACTGAGGGAATCCCTCTCTCTCTCTCTGTCTCTTGTAAGTTTACTCATGGCTATCTCATATATTAGGATAATGATGGTGTTATATGAACTGTTGTGTTCAGTTGATAAGAACTTTGAATATGATGATATGAGCCTTGTATTGTGTGGTTGGTAAGAAAACTGTACGAGACTGACCATTGAATAACATTCACTTCTAGACTGTGTGCCGTTTTGATGAGGTGAAAATTGCTGACATTTCTTTTTGAAAATTTTTAGTTCTTTTGCAGTGCAGTTTTCTTAGATGTTTTTCAATCTGTTTCTTCTTCAAATTTCTTTTTTTGATATATAAATCAAATTCCTTTGTTAGATAAATATGTATGGCATATTATTTATATGTGCCGTCCTCATATGGAGTATTTTGTTAAATTTGCTTTTAACCAAAAAGCATGTGTATTTTTATCCTGAATCTTTTGGTTGGTTTTAAGTTTTAAGATAGCTGGTGTATATGAAAAGTTATTAGGTAGAAATGGCAGTGTGATAAATTTACAAAATAAGCTGTTACTTATCATCAAGTTGGTAAAAAATTCAGTAAACCAGCTCTCCTGCTTTAATGGAGAATATTTTTACTGGAAGTCTTCTTTGTCAATTGTGTGCTGTCTTTGAATATTTGTGTCTCTAGTTGGCAGTGTGCATTCCTTCTCAAATGATGATCAGCAAAAATTAATCTCAAGTCACTTTTGAAAGGACACTTTGAATATGACTTGTTGATTTTGCAGTCAAAATCAGTGAAATGTGAAGATGTTGCTGTGGAACTCTCAACTTCTTTGGCAGTTATTTATTATTATTTCATTATATTTTTCGATTTAAGCTTTGACCTAAAAAGCTATCAATTCACCAAGGGCCTTTTTTTTCTGTCTGTTAACTCTGTTAAATCTTGTGACAGCCATGCCTATATATAGGTTCTTGTTCTGTATTATCCAATTGCAAAGATATTGGTGTCATAATCTACTGCAGGTGTTCCAGAGTAATAAGCGGTGAATAGATCATTTGTAAGGACTGCTGTTCAAGTCATTTGTAGGTCTTCGTCTTTCATGGGCCAAGTAATTCTGCTTGTTGGAGCAGTTTATGGTTTTCCTTTATTGAGCAAAGTTATCATCTTAGACGTCATGTGTTAACTGTTATGGCTTATTGTAGTTTTTTTTGTGAACTTGGTATAAGTCTTTCTTCTTAGGCTCTCAAAAAATAACTATGGTAATTTGAAAAAATTAGATTTACCTGGAAAAAATACATTTGTCTTTCTTAATTTACTTGAACAAAATGTAGAACCTTTACTAGTGTTCACTACTGAAGGAAATCCCAGTTTTCATTATTTCTTTTTTATCATATTCTTCATAGGACTTTTTATTTTAAGTGGATCCCATTTTTCTGAAATCACATTCTTAATGTCAAACAAGCTTGTTTGAATAAAAAAAAAACTTGTTAGGTTTGATCAATCCACATATTTTAAAATACTTTCTCCTTTATAGGAAGAGACATCCTTTAGATAGATTTTCATGATGACTTGGAAGGCAGTAACTGCTAACCACACATTTATCTCCATAAACGATGTTAACATGACTGTTTAGACTCTACTGATTGATTCATTTCTTCATCCAGACATATTCTTGATTGGATTTGATTGTATCCCTGTGGTATTAGAGATGTCATTAGTGGCTGCAGAACTACTTTGTCAACTTAAAAAGAGATGGTCTGCGTGTTCAGCGCAATGGCGACTGTTACTTAGTGGCATTTTCCTGTCCTACCTTATATGTGATTGTAATAGCTCAGGCCTTCCCCTTTCTGAACTATGGGGGAATAAAGAACTGATAGCGGGATAATTACTAAGAGTGGAAGAGGGAGAAAATGAGTTTTTTTTTCTGATTTCTGATTTTGCATATTTTACTCATGATCAAGTACTGGTATGCATGAGATGATGAAGAAGAAACTTGCCTGCAATGGTGTTTTCAGTGAATGTGTAAAATATTCAGGATGAATTACATGTAAAAAAAGAATTTTTTTAAAGTCTATACCAGTGACAATTGTGGACTAAGTTGTTGAATATCCTCCGTTGCACTGTTCTTAAACTGTTTTTTCTTCTGCTTCTTAATTTCTGCATGCCTAAGCAAATCTTGATATCACCCCCCAGGGAAATCATTGTAGAATGTTAATCTAGCATGACACAAGTTGTTGTCTCATGTCATTGCGTAAGAATGACATTGCTGTTTTAATTGCATGGCACGATGAGCAATCAAAAGTGCATCTCAAAATATTTGCTCCATTAGGTTTTGTAGTACACATGGGATTCTCAGATTGTGAAATGAATGGATTTAGTATAATATGTATGTCATGATGTTATATCATAGTTTTCACTTGGAAATTGAATGAAATCATTTTAACTCATTTAGAGATGTACATGTTTTTTTTACCTTTGAAGTGGTGTAATTTAAAAGAGGCATACACCGTGCTTTTACAAATAATGGAAGTTCATGTTTAACTTACACAACTTAACATGTTTAGAGACCAAGGAATGAAATTATTTTTTTTCATCTACACATATATTTGAAGATTTTATCTGAACCATTCAGTAATGAAAGAGTATCAGGAATTCCTTTGATATTGCCCATAATTTTAAGGCCCTCAACACATGTCATTGACAAGTATACATATGCTTGTAATTTTCTAATAATAATCATACTTTGAATGATTCATCTTAAGTTTGGAATCTTAAGATGACTTTGTAGAAAGGTTTTAAGGACCACTTCAAAATTTTGGTTTAAAAAAAGGCTGATGTATTATTTGAATCTTTAAACTGATACAACTTATTTAGAATCTGGAAGCTAATCAAGAGAATTGATTGCACCCACCATTTCCCCACTTTGATTTTCAACATTTTGGTTCCCCTCTTTGGCCCTTCTAGACCTTAAAAATACAGTGTCCTTTTATACGACTTATTATGTTTACACTTAAACAATTCATACCTCCCTTTAAAAATCCATTTCTTTCTTCTTAATTAGAAATGAAAGAAAAATCAGTGAATTCAAAATTGTATCTTTCAGGGTTCCTGATAAGTCTGATGTCCAGTTTGGTAGTATAAAGCAAGGTGACCAATGTATGGACACGTTAGGACACAGGTCAGGAGAAAGCGTTGGTGTTTACGCCTGTCACGGGGCTGGTGGAAACCAGGAATGGGTGCAGACAAAGGAAGGGCGCATTAAACATCATGAGTTCTGTCTGACCATTGGGGATAAGCCTGGTAGTTTGGTACGGATGAAGCCCTGTGATGGAAATGACAGAAATCAGGTGGGTTGGCATGACAATTTATGTAAATGCGCACTTTTTTTTCATAGTCATGACAAAATGTAGTACTACTATAATTAAAGGTATGCTCCATGAGATTTACCTGCCAAAAAAGATAAAAATAAGCAACTTTCTTGTACTGGCAAATCATTTGTCCATCTCTCTTTACATTTGGATTCGACCTTTGATAAAATTTGTACAGCTTAATGTTATCTAAAAATAACAGCGATCATTTTCCTATAAGCTCCAATGGAAATATCAACATCAGGTAGGCTCCAGAAAAATATTGAAGGGTTTAAAGCTTTTTAAGTTGTATGCAAGGTTTTATAAGAAGCTTTGGATGGCAAAAAGAAGCATTTTGGGGATTTTCAAACCAGTGGAGTATACCTTTAATTTTTAAATTTAATTTTAAATTCAAGTTTTGGTGTATGGTTTTATTTAAGCACCTTTTACTGTCATATTGTGGATAACATGCCATAAAGGCAATTTAATTTCAGTTTCATTATTTGGTGATGAAGGTTAAGAGTGAAATCCCTCTGTTTTTTTTTTCAGCAATTCATGAAATTCAGCAGTAGCAAGATTCTAAAGCACATACAAATGAACTTGTGCATCGACTCACGGAACCACTCGACCAAGGGACTCACAGCTGAGACGTGTGATAACAGTTCTGCATCACAGCTCTGGGATTTTATTATAGACCAAGAAAAGAAGTAGCATGTAGAGTCTATTAGCTGATTAGCTTTGGAGACTTTTTAGAAAAATAAGATAACTGACATTTAAAAAAGTAATTAATTGAAACTAAAATTGTGCAGATCGAGTGAGGTCTGTGAAGTATATAGTGTCTTATGGGGTTTCATATTCTGAAGTGTTCATTAAAAAAAGACTGGCGTATTAGGGGAGATACTACATGTATGTCAGCTGTAGATTTTATTATCCAATCATACAATGAACGGAAGTGCTCTCTGCTCAGTTCTTCAGTTGCAATCTGCATTAAAATTTATAAAATTCCAGAAAACGTAGCGATAGTAGCATATTTTTATTCTAGTCATGGAATTATTTAGCTCATTTTATTTATTTTCTTAATATAATATGTAGTTTTTTTGGACCCTCTTTGTGCAACTTCCATGCAGTTGTCTTCCTAATTAACTTTCAGTGGTTTGTTCGGTAATAATTTGAGACACAAAACTGACTGTATTTCAAACTAAGTTGACATAGAAATTAATGTTTTATGGTTCAGTTTTATACATGATTTTTATTTCTGTGGACAGCCATTTTTCTGCCATTTGTTACTAACCTTTAGCATTGCTGATAATCGAAGAGAGGTTATCTGAATCTTTTATTCTATAAACTTTTCACACTGAAATTCTTTCATGATCCATTTGCAGCTGTGCTGCTAGGACATATTGAAAACATCATCAGATTTTAAACGTACTTTTTATTAATACTTAAAATTTTTGTAGTATTGTAAGCACACAAACATAGTTAAGTGAAATTACCCATAAGCATATCCCATTCTTTTAAAGATCTCAGAATGTTTTACTGTTTATTTTCATTGAAAGGTATGCTTGTTTATGACTTTGTTGGTAAATATGTTTTATATTAAAAAGCAGTAAAAAAGATTTGAAAAGGGTAAAAGTTTAAATAACAATGAAACGTGGGTTTTTCAGTTTCATTTAGTGACAATGTTAAACACTGAATTGACAGAAGTGATAGATTTAGTTACTGTGCATATGTTCACTTAAGCTTATCTCTATCTCTGGTAATTAGAAAGAAATTTGCAGTTCTATGTCAGGCCAATCTGGATTCTTGTGTATTTGAAGCATTATGGTAAGAATGACTTGCAGACTGCAGTATTAAATGTATCAGCACAGTTGATCTATAACAAATTAATGAGTTATAGATACATGTAAGAGCTCACACACATTTGCATTATTGGCTACGAAGGTTAACAACAAAATACTGTTTTGTTGGCAAACCTTTGCATTTGAACCTCATAGTCTTGGTGGGAAACCAATTAAACCCCTTCAATTTATCCAACAATGTCTCAGTAGTTAATTAAACTTTTCTGTGGTAGTGGCAAGTTTGTTTTGTAGTGAGAATTTGCAATCAAGCTATCTATATGCGATTCAACTGAACATGTACATGGGTAATCCTACTGGTGGTGGTTGTGCATTATTGAAAACTGCCGTTATTTGTGGTGATGGTTATTTTAATGGGTTGTCTTTCAAAATTTCAGATTTGATACAGTTATTGACCAAGCATTGTAGACAGTAATTATTTGTATTCATCAGAGGCTCATGTGAGATGTATTATTACTGTTTGTTTGAACTAAAGTTACACTGTTGTAACTACCTTATAATGAGGTTGTGCTTTTTTGCACTGACTTAGCCTCTTAGTGAACATTTTTATGTAATTGGTATGTGTCTATTATGTATTGACTTTCAGTTTTATGATTCAATTTGATAATATGTAATCTTTAAATACAGTTATTTTATAATTTTAACAAATTCATTGTAATAAAATGTTGATATTGAATAAGTAAAATAAAGCCAAAATATTTTAACTACCAAAGGGCAAAATTTGTTTTTGTGTTTTTGTCTTGGAATTATTATCATTAAATTATAATTTAAGTGTGTAAGCTTTTTTGCTTCCTGGTTCCCTGTCCAGAAAAAGAGTCCAAAAGTATTTATTGGAAAATTAAATAAAAAACTTATGTCATGCTAAAATTAAATTTTGAAGTTTAATAAAAATCATAAATAATTGCTGCTAACTACAATCTTACAGAAGTCATTGTTGTCTGTTTCTTTGTTCTAAAGCAAATGGTTAATATGCACTCTGAATAAACTTTCAAGCACTGCCATTACTTTTAGACTGGGTTATGAAAATGGATCGAACTAACTCCCTGGGGGTTCACGCTAAATTGCTGTCAGCTTCCGCTAGCCGAACGTGCACAAAAGTTAATTACCCCCTTACAGCTTTTAGTAGGCGGGACAAACATTTAAGCCAGTTAACCTTACAGCAATCTAGTGAGACTCCCCAGGTGGATAGATTGATCTAAATATCTGTGGGAATGGTCTCTTAGTATTTTCTCATTATAGTAAATGGAAACAATGTGGAAATTAATACATTTTTAAATGAATGTGTCCTAGTCTGTTTGCTTTTGGTAGACCTTTTCATGTGCTAAAGACAGGCACATGTANCCTTTTCATGTGCTAAAGACAGGCACAATGTTACGTTACGGATAAATCATGTCTAATATTGCCTCAACAGAGCCAAGTGCAAATTTTGCTTGAAAAAAAATTAAAAAGATTATTTGTCAGAATTTTTTTCTTTTATGACATTGAAGTCTCTAGTCTCTCATATCATTATATTTATCTATTCATTTACCAAGTGTCTTTTTAAATATGATTATGCCATGATATTATTATTATTTATTTATTTATTTATTTATTTATTTATTTATTTATTTATTTTTGCATTTTCAATGATATCTGTATGAAATTAAAATTTGACTGCATTTAATCATTTAGTGAAAATTGTTTTACAGTATTCAGCATAGATATATCATATAATTTGCATCACACTTTTGTCGCAAAAAAAAATGATGCCGTTCTTTCCATTAATAAATCATATTTTCATAATCATTATTAATATACTTTACACAAATTGTTTCACATTACGTTGTGTTTGTTGCGCGAGAGACGTATTATCTTAGTTACAGGTGCCCCCTACTGTTTATTTGGGAAACTATAGTCAACCATGTGGAGTCGAGTGAGTGTTCGGATTCTTGGGATTTCTACGAGGCTACTACACCCTGACTCCGCGGTTGTGCCCGTAGTTAATGCGAGAAGATATTTACAAGACAGAACCAGATTTTACAAAAACGCTCACATCAAGCACAGCAAGCAAGGGTGGGAGGTACTTTTGGACAAAAAGAAGTTGAAAACCCCGTTTGGAAATGTATTCCAAGTCCCATCTGAAGCTTTAGCCTTGGCTGTTGCGACGGAATGGAACGCGCAAGAAAAGGTTATAAAGTCGCACGATATGCACTTGACATCGTTATGTAATACAGCGATTGACAATCCTACTCACAGAAACAAAGAACAGACTGTAGACAGTATCATTCATTTCTTGGACACTGACACAATATGCTACTGGTTAGACGAGCCAGAAGAACTCACCGACCTTCAGAATGCAGAATGGAAACCAATGATAGAATGGTTGCAGCATAGATATGACATATCGGTTGAGCCCACCTATGGGTTACTTCCCCCAGGAATACCCGAGGAGACCAGAGCGCTTTTGCAAAGGCATCTGAATTCTTACACTCCATGGGCCTTGGTTGGTTTTGAGTATTGCACTGATGCCTTGAAGTCTCTGATCCTAACTTTAGGTGTTATGGACAGGCATCTGTCTGTGGAGAAGGCAGTGGAGCTGTCGAGGCTAGAACTAGAATTTCAGATCAAAAGGTGGGGCTCTGTAGAGTGGCATCACGATATAGACTTGCTGGAATTGAAGGCGAGGGTGGCAGCTGCAGTGTTATTTGTACATATGTCGACTGAATTTCAGACTGCTGACGCTGCCAAACAGACACAAAGAGGATGATTCAGATGTACAAGTTAAATTCCAGTGAATTAAATTATAAGATTGATATGATCAAAACTGCAATAGGAATAGTTGCCACCAGTACTTCAAACAGCTACAATTATGACTTTCTGCCTACTATTTGGACCTTTGTACCCTTATTTTACCATCTTACCATCATTAAAAACTATTGAACCATGTGTGCTTGGTAATCGAATGAAACTGTAATTGTGGGGCTTCTGTACAATAAGTCCTTAATTGTGGAAGAAAAGATGTTATTCCTACTGAGTGTTGTTGAAGGTTCAAGAACTGATGGGCACCGCCCCTTCCCGAGTCAAATGTAATAATTATATGACAAAAATATAAATAGATAAATAAGTAAATTTTAAAAAACTAAAAAAATTATTTAAAAAAAAATAGGGGGATATAGTACAGTAGTACTCTGACACAATTTGTATGGTCACCTGCATAGATGCAGTTTAGCATGGGAATTTGCCCATCCCTTTCTTTTTCTGCTTAAAAGATTGTATTTGTTAATAAAATGTTTTTTATATATTTTAAGTTGAAGTGAAGTTTTTAAAAATCAATTGACGAAAAGGAAATAACATTTGATGTAGATAAATATGTCAACTAAGTGGAAAGCGGCACAAATCTCCATGGCAAGTTATTATATCAGTATGCCACATTAGTATATATTCTGTATAAAGGGGGAACTAAAGATGGTTATATTTTCCCCAACCTTATGAACACCCCGAGTCCCGTCCTAAATTTTCTCTGTCGATGTAATTATGTAATAATCTATTGAATTTATTATTATTTACTTCTAAAATTGTCATATACGTTTTACATAGTTCAGAATTATACCTAGGCAGGATCCCGAAAGCGTTATTCCATAAATTATTATCTAAAAAAGCGCTGGACTTTTCACTTAAAACTTACAGAAGCAACAGATATACTACGAACATGGTAGCGGTTACAGTTATTTCATTTCAGTTCATTCAAAATAACCAAAACAATTGCATTACCATGAAAATAGAAAGGTGAGCGAACTATATCCATGTAAGGCAATAACCCTCAGAATTGAATTGGCACAGTGATATGATAGGTGCATTCTGCGATGAGCGATTTTTGTACAATTATGAATTGATTTATTAAATAATCAGTATCAATCAAGAGCTCACAAAACATTTTTAAAAAGCAATCAGTCTGAAAAATTGCATAGTATCGCTTTTCTTGTGAGAATGATATCAACAGCAACAGCCAATCAAAATTCGCCATACCTGTTGCAATTTGCATAATTAGTCGTTCAGCACAGTGTGAGCTGTCATCCAGATCAGTCACTTCACAGCTGGACCGTGTAAGGAAAGGACGCAGGACAGATGTGGTGAAGTCGCAAGGCCGAATACTTCATTCATTGGAACAAATTTGTCTTGTGAGTAGCATCTTTTCAGTAAGCAAGTACCAAAGGCGTGCAAGAAGGGAAACACGTCAGGTTTATTTTGCGTAACTCGATAGTTTTAGACCAGTGTATGGCTATCGCCTTTGTCATTTGCATACGAACACTTTTCCCGTTTTGTGAGCTTTATACAACTTGTTTGTAGGCCTACTAGTAAGTGCTTGTCAGAAGTGTGTTTAAGTTCGGAATTTCATTGGCACTTCAAAATGGCGTTTATAATGAGATGTTCTTTGTACCAAAAGACCTTTCTTATAAATTTTCCGTGTTTCGTCGAGTTCAAATTATCCTTATATTTTCACACGACCTAGATTACAGTCCGGGTGGTTCACTGGATTTTGGAAAAGGTTTCCGTAAATAACCTCGGAAAAAACGCTGTCGATAGACGCATAAATACTATGAAGAAAGTTGTCATATTTTATATCACTTTTTGGTGTCCAGATTCAGTCACTTTTATTACAACAGACCTACTTTGTGTATCCGTAGATTTGACGTGTTTTCCTATGTCATTCTCGTAGTTTAATAGAATTGGATTAACAACATCCATTGAAATTTATTGTAAAATATCGGAGAATTTTGGATCTCGAACTGCATGCCTCTTTTCCATTATCAATTATTAAGTTAAGTTGAAATGGCACGGGGATATTTATCAATGTCTTTAATGTATGTTATTTTCATGTTTCAGAACACTGCCATTTCCTTTGCCAAGATACTGCAAAATGCACATACGACTGATAAGAAGCTGCCCTAGTCTTCCATATTTTTGAAAATGACACGGACATGGACATTAAAAATTTATATGTTGACAATCGTTCATGATTTTAAAAATAATAGCTTATTCTTAATTTTCTACATACTGAAATGGCGCACTAAGATCGACCGTGTTTCATTTTCCTTAAAATCAGACATCAATTATTTGAAATAAATGATGCCATAAGAATTGATCGATAAAAATAATAAAAGTTTCTCTTCAATTTTCTTATGTTATGCAATAGTTTAATAATTTAAAGCTATAATATAATATATAAAGCCATAATATAATCTCAAAGTGCTTACATATTACAACTTTCAAATTTAAAGGTAAAATTGCATTTTCACCAGATCGCAAATTGAGATTCGCGTGCGATTGTTTATTATAATTAACGACTGTATTATTCGTTATGATGAACATTGTAGAAGAAAACTTTATGTTATCATTTGCAACTTTACTCTGACATTTGTGAACGGCAGTAATTTTTTCTGAATAAATACGCTTTTTTGGGGATGTTTTCAGTTTGATCTTAAAGATACATAAGTGAAAGTAGTAGTATAAATATATTCTGGATTTCAAACGTAATGTACTCTATATTAAACGCATTCTAAGTCACAAGTTGGGGAAGTCAATTTGTTTTTGAGGGAAGGCAGATGGGTTCAGTCCACTCAATTTTAAAGGGTGACAGGTTGGCCAAGTCCATTCATTTTAAGGGGTGACAGGTGGGGCGAGTCCATTACGTTTTGAGGGGTGGCAGGTGGGGCGAGTCCATTATGTTTTGAGGGG